AATTCAAAATCTAAATATGCAAAAAGAAGCTCATAAAGAATTTAATGTGCGACCATGTTTTTGGGGTATGTAGTAGGAATTGAGAGATGTATTGCATATGGCACGCAATCTTACTATTTGTCTTCAATGTGAAAATATCACCGCAGGCGAATTCCTTTTTGATTGAAATTCAATAATATGTGAACATGACGGGAAGGACAATGACTTAGCCAAAGGTTTCCAAAAAGGAATGGATAATAGAGAAAGCATGCTATGCAAAAATTTGTTGTTCTTGCAGCAGTTTATGTTGATATTAGGCATGGCTATATGCTAACAGCAATTGAATGCAAGGTGGTTTTTTTAATAAAATTTTATTTATATATATTTATTTATTTAACTTTAAAAAATACATATTCCAAAAAGTAAAATACTTCTATAGATAACTGCAGCTGAAGGACTTTAGAAAATACATTACAAACTGATTCAATTCGCTAATGAAAATAAGAATAAAGAACTCAATAAAACCAAAAAAGCAGTAGAGGGCAACTCTTTTGCAGTTTATGTGTCAGGCTCTAGTTCAGAAAATGAGGAGAATGCTTCACCAGTCGCAAAGCGCCTACCAAATTTATTTAAGTTGTGTGAACAGAAGGTTCAAGAAAATTATTCAGAAGAACAAATGCAGGTTCAACTAGATGTAATCGAAAAGGAGTTCCGACTAGCTCTAAAAACAATTCCGGAAGTCCGTTCAATGTTTAAAGACAAATCATCCACTTAGACGAGTTTTTAAAACGTAACCCATTAAAATCAATTGAGCAGTTCCCTGAAGTTGTATGGGATGCCTTCCGTTTCGCTTTCTCACTACCCATATCCCAAGTCAGTGTCAAGCATCTGTATTCAGTATTCAAGCACATGACACCAGACCATTGTAGCCGATTTACGTCTGAGTTAATTGATGATATGCTTTTTTTACGAACAAACAAGTTTTTTATTTGAACATTTTTTGATGATGTAGATATTGTAATATTTTGTCCTTGTAACTTTATAATTTAGCGTGTAATTAATGTAAATAAGCATTTAAGTCTTGTTATAATTTTATGATCATGTGGTTTCAAATAATCTGAGAAATTGAGTGCGACATCTGAGAAATTTGTGCGTGTGACAATACAAATCAAATAAAAATATTTGGAGTTGTATTGTTTGTATAAATTCTTACGATTCAGCAAAATTAAGACAAATTAACTTTTGGGTTTAAGCAGCCGTGGCGCAATGGTAGCGCATTTTCTTAAAAAAATAAGGGGTCCGAGGTTGAAACCCACCTTTGTTTTTGCGACATCAGTTAGGAAGTAGGAGTGAATTTCCTGTTAATTGCTTTTCCAAGGTGCTCTGTTATAAGACCGTAAGGACTTCTTAGGGTAAATAAAATAAACATATAATTTATAAAAGAAAATATTATTGGTACCCTCTCATTTTTCCGGAATTTTTGCGTTAAAATTCCAGATAATAAAAACCCCTTATTTAAATAAAGAAAAAAAAAATTATTTGGGAATCGGAGTCCATGGAGTCCATGATTTTTGAGGTCGAAGTCCCAAAAAATCGATAGATCTTTGCATCCCTGATATATATATAAATATATATATATATATATATATATATATATATATATATATATATATATATATATATATACACACACAATTATCATGATGTTAGTTTAATTTAAATTATATATATATATATTCATATATATATATATATATATACATACACAGGCTTGGTTGGGAAGCGGGAGCGATCGCTCTCGAATACTGACCACGGAAATTATATTTAGTTGCGTAAAACTGGCCAGGTTTTTTAGTCGTTTTGAGAACATTTAAGTTTATGTACGAAACAAAGAATTTTTGTTTTACGGACATACATGGAAACATAACAAATTTGAATGTTCTCAAAACATCTTTGTGCGAAAGAATAAAAAGAATATTTGCGAACACTAAAAACCCGCCAAATTAACAAACAAACTAATACTATTGGTTCAAAAAATACGCTGATTAAGCGAAATAAAGTTCTAGAGTATTGTGTTAAAATGTTTTAGAAATTGTATTATTCACGATTTGTTACGTTTTGAGATTTGTAGAATTATTTTAAGAATATATATTATTTGTTTACAAAAATAAATGTTTTAAATATATATTAATTAAATTGTTAAAATTTTAAAAGTTTATTATAAATCATAGATTTTATTAGTATATTCTTATTTTTTATTTTAAAAGAGATTGTATTCTTTATGTAAATGTAATTTTGTGTATTTGTCTTTTATCGTAATGTATCTTTTAAAGCAATTTTTATGATTTAAACAAAGACTTACAAAAATAATTGTGTTTTTAATGAAGTTATAATCGTTAAAGTTAATAAAACTAATTATGTAACAAACATGTAAGAAGTTTCTGGTTACTAAACACAAACAACGCGTACAAAGTAACTCGCGGATGAACAAGCATCGCGCCTGAGGTCACGACAGAACACAAATATATAATAGCAAATATTTAGATATAAAGAAAAGTTTCTAGATATTGGTTTACTAGCTCTAATTATTTTCGCTTAAGTTGCCATTCTTAAAACTCGTTATACTTTTTTCTGCTTTAAATACTAATTAAAATTAAAAAGCCCACTTACTAAACATCATTAGCGATACTGTGAAGCAGTTTCGCTTCCTGGTCATTAAGTGTTTTTAACCTTTTTATTTGATTTCTATCTTGATAATTTAATTTCTATAATAATTCAATGATTTAATTATTTCATTTGTTTATCTTACTAAGAAGAATCGCTTCAAATATGTTAAACTTTTCAAACTACGCGAAACATAAAATAGGTATTAAAAAAATTAACTTTTTTATTTATAAAATAAATTAAGCTTAAGTAAAACTAAAACTTTCAAATTTAGTTAAATAAAGAATATTTGTTTCTCTTTTAAACAATCGTAAGTTGTTACTTTATATAAAAAACATCGCTTAATTTTATAAAAAAAGTTATAAAAAACCGATGTTTAGAAAATATTTGTTCTAAGTGTAATTTATTTAGCTTAAGGTTTTTTTGCGTTTAAAGATATTTTATTTGCCTACATTTTTTTTTTTTGTAATTGTCTCTCATCGGTCCAATTTATTTTAGTCGCTTTTTTTTTTTTTGCTTTTTAAAATGTTCTCAAAACGACTAAAAAAACTGGCCAGCTTTTTGCAACTAAATATTATTTACGTGGTCAGCAATCGAGGACGATCGCTCCCGCTTCCCGACCAAGCCTGCATACACTGCCGCTCACGGAAGTTAGGACAATGGGGATTTTTCAAAAAAGCAATATTAATATGTAATTATGTTATAGAATTTTTAATTTATATTAATAAAAAGTATATTTTTATACATTTTACTAATATAAATTAAAAATTCTATAACGTAATTACATATTAATATTGCTTTTTTGAAAAGTCCTCATTGCCCTAACTTCCGTGAGCAGCAGTGTATATATATATATATATATATATATATATATATATATATATATATATATATATATATATATATATTTCTTCAGTTAAAATTAGATATTTAAAATTTGTTAAAATACCTATAAAGGTGTTAAAAAAAAAAAACAATACAAAATATTTTGTATTGTTTTTTTTAATATTTAATTTTAACTGACTAGTGTTATTTAAAACATGTATTGTTTTTTATTTGAAAAATGGTTTAAAAAATTAGAAAATTTGTCTTGTTTATGAAAATATTTACATTACAAGGTGTATATATATATATATATATATATATATATATATATATATATATATATATATATATATATATATCATATATATATATATATATATATATATATATATATATATATATATATATATATATATATATATATATATATATATATATATGTGTGTGTATATATATATTTATGTTTATATATGTGTGTGTATATATATATATATATATATATATATATATATACACATTTTACAGCAAAATGGTTTTTATAACAAATTGTATATATATATATATATATATATATATATATATATATATATATATATATATATATATATATATATATATATATGTATACAATTTACAACAAAATGGTTTTTAATAAAATATCACATTATCAATATGGTAATACAATTTAGATATTCTAAGAGATAACATTTTTTGTGTTTGAATCGAATACAGCATAATGCTCGTTAGCAAGTTCTGAAACTTTTGTGGCTTTAATTAGCTATGAAATGTTTTCTGAAAAACAAATCACTTTTAAATTTTCGGAGATAACAACAATTACATATATATGATAAAGTTGTCCTTAAAAAAAACTCTTAATACTTCAAAAAATGATTTATTTTTATCATGAGCACACTACGATTTGGTCACAATAGTTGCATATGCTAAACAAATTAAAATTTATAAAAAAGTTATCATATTAATAAAAATTTATTTCATCCAACAAAAATAAATTTTTGAATTGTTTATTTAAATATTTAAAAAAGAACAAACTAAATGCAACATATAAAATATTTTTATTGTATATAAAAATGTTGTAAATGATGTTTAATGATATTAATATTTATATAAATTATCAAGTTTATTTAAAAATTATTATTGTTAATCATTTAAAGTAATTTAGAACAACTTAAAATGTTTTAAATGATAAAATCATTTGCACAATGAATAAATCCTCTATTTAAAATCTATTTTCTTCAAGGTACTATTACCCTCAAAAAGTAGTTTTTTTTTTTTTTTTAAATGGACTGAATAAATACTGCTTATAACTTGTAATATGCTTTGACAACACAGAATAAATTCTTTATATAAACTTTTAAAATTTTTTTTTTTTTCAATTATTTTATTCAGAAAAATTATGAAAAATCACTAAATGATTTAGTTTTAAAACTACATCTTTTTTTTCTTCTCGTGTTAAGAGTTAAGAAGAAATAAAAAGGCTAGTATTAGTTGCAACTGTAGTTTTTATATTTTAGTTCCTGTCAGAGTATATGCTGATGGAGTATTTGACATGTTTCATGCTGGTCATGCAAGAGCATTGTTACAAGCAAAAACTGTTTTTCCAAATGTTTATTTGATGGTTGGTGGTAAAGATTTTTTTGTTCATAAATGTTTGTTTGTGTGTGTACATAAAATTACATGTGTTATGTATACAACACATGTAGTTTGTGTATGTATATATATATATATATATATATATATATATATATATATATATATATATATATATATATATATATATATATATATATATATATATATATATATATATTTAGGCTTGGCCAGGAAGGCGTGCAATTTCATGTCTTTATATGACTACGCAAAAGATAATTTGTTTTGATGATTTAACCATGGTTTTTAGCAAATGCGCTGAAAAATTTGGTTTGATAACAATTGCGGATAATTGCATTGAAAATAAATAACTTCGACACATTTATCTTTACTAACGTTTTTTTATTCCTAAAATGCTTTTAAATAAAGTAGCTAATGATTTTAATATAAGTATTATAGAAAGTTGTATAAGGTTTTATTTACATTATTTAATTATATAAATTTTTTTATAAGTAAAATAAAAAGAGTAAAAAATATAAAAAAATATCTAAATTTTATGTGACAACTTTAAAAGCCATTTGAATTAATTAACTTTTATCTTTACTTATGTTTTTATATTATTGAAATGCATTTATCTAAAGTAAAAAATCACTGCTAATGATTTTTTATAAAAAATATTTAGGAATAATACATACTTTTTTATATTTATATAAGTATGTATTTTTTATTATAAATATCTTTAAATAGAAAAAAAATTATATCAACTTTTTAAATAAACAATTTAATTATTTTTTCTTTTGTTTACCTTACAGCAAAGAATTACAGTTAAGAATCTTTTTTTTTAACTTTTAAATGTGCGTATTTATTTAACAATCGTTAGATGTAAGTATGATGTAACCCTTAGAACCGTTAGATGTAACCCTTTCTTTTCCAATGTTGCCATTTAGCAACACAAACTTTAAATTCAAAAATCAAACCTTGTTTTAACTTTTTTTTTTATTTTAAGTAATGCTTAAGTTTTGTATAATTGTGTATTATTATAAATGTATAATTTTTAAAACATATTAATAGCCGTGGTCAAGTTTTAAAATCAAATAGTATTTACATGATCATATTATGATGTGAAATCGCACGCTTTACTGGCCAAGCCTATATATATATATATATATATATATATATATATATATATATATATATATATATATATATATATATATATATATATATATATATATATATATATATATATATATATATATATATATATATATATATATATATATATATATATATATATATATATATATATATATGTATATGTATATATCATTCTAAACTACTGAAACCAGGAGAAACAGTTACAGCTGAATTGTATTGCCAGCAATTGGATAGATTACACAGCCAATTGTTGGTAAAAAGACCAGCTCTGGTTAACAGAAAAGGAGTAATATTGCAACATGATAATGCCAGTCGCATGCAGCAAGATTAACCCAAGAAAAAATAAAACAGCTAAACTGGGAGGTTTTACCACATCTCCCATATTAATCAGAAATATCACCATCCAATTTTTATTTATTCCAGTCCATGGAACATTCCCTGAAGAATAAAAATTTCAAAAATGTTGATGATATTCGAACTCACTTTGAAACATATTTTTCTTCAAAGGATACAGAATTTTATGAGCATGGAATTAAAACTCTTCCAACAAGATGGCAGAAGGTCCTAGATAGCTATGAAGATTAAATAATTGATTAAAAATAAATTTAATATAAATAAATTCATTTTTTTCACAATAATTGATTACTTAATTAATTGTTTAAATAATTGATTACTTATGGGTAACCCCTAACATATATATATATATATATATATATATATATATATATATATATATATATATATATATATATATATATATATATATATATATATAATATATATATATATATATATGCACACACATACTTTAGCTGGTTTAGGTTAGTTTTTTGGCTGAAATAAAACTCCTTATCTAAAGTACCTGCTCGAAACCCAGCTCTCAGTTAGGATTGTACTAAAGCCCTCACCCATCTTTACTTTTGTATGACATCAGTTCTGTGCATATTTAAGTACACTATAAAAAATGCAAAGCTTATATTCCTGACTCATATTATATCTATGTTTGTACCTTTGTAGTTTTGTTTTAATTTAAAAGAATTTTTTTAGTTTCTGGTGATACTCTTTGTCATCAACTGAAAGGACTCACCGTTATGACTGATACAGAAAGATATGAAGCTCTCAGACATTGCCGTTATATTGATGAAATTATCACCGATTGTCCATGGACATTAACAAAAGATTTTTTAGATAAACACAAGGTTGTTTTATAATATATATTATGTATATTTTTACATACATATATGTGTGTATGTATTTATATATTTTTACATACATATATGTATGTATGTATTTATATATTTTTACATACATATGTGTGTATGTATTTTATTTGATTTTTTCTCTAAAATGTATAACTATCAAAGTAACTAAAATGATTTTATAAATTTTTATATTTTTATAATAAAAAAAAAATAAAAATAAAAACTAAATTGCATAATAAACTGCAATGTTTTTAAAAGACATGGTTGTTGCACAAAAAAGAATAATTAAAAAAGAGCAAAAATGCAAATATTTTTGATTTGATTTGACTATTTGATAAATATAAAATATTACATTCTAAATTATTTTGATAAAATATAAAATTACTTAACTGATAAAAAATAAAATTATTACACTCTATTGATTATTGCATAACAATTTTTATTTTATGTAAGGAATTATATATTTTATAAATAATAATTGCTTTAATATATTATTAAATTTTATTGTAGAATTTTTAATTGCTGTAATAATTTTTAAAATGCCTTCATTCTATCACAATAAAAAGGATAAAAGATTTTTTATAAGCAGTAAAAACTTTTATAACTCTTTGTCAAGTTTTTAATCAAATAAGTAATGTTGCTAATAAATAAATGGATAGCTAGTGTCAAAACCCAAAGACAACACTTGTCTAAAGAATTTTTTCACATTTCAATAAACGACGCTTGTTATATACATATTCTTGTAACATTAACGTTACAAACATGCTTGTAACAAGTAATAAACCAAATTTTGTAATTAATAAACAATTTTTTAATGAATAGCTTGTGCAAAAGCCAAAAGCTCTCCTAAGAAGCTGTTTAGAGGAGCATGCATGCTCGCCATATTTGTTTTAGAAGAGCTTTTCTCCGCTCATATATATATATATATATATATATATATATATATATATATATATATATATATATATATATATATATATATATATATATATATATATATATATATATAGGGTACCCCAAAAACAACATTTTTGAAAATTATGTCTTAATGTGTTCTATATAATAAAAAAGCACTGGGTTTTCTAATAAAAAATATTTTTAGGGGTCTCTCAAGACCTTTGAACAAATTGCGAGTTCCTAATATTATCAAAAAAAACCATTCTTCAAAAATGTATCATATTGAGTTTCAAATTAAGCGAAGTTATATGAATTTTTCAAATATGATAATTACACTACAAAAAATTTATTAAATAAAAATTATTTATATTTTTCATATTAGTTAATAAACTTCATTTTTTATGCTGTTAAATCTAACATGTTTATTTTTATATAATTGTCATTTTTAAAATTTTCTTATAATTTCGCTTCATTTGAGACCCAATGTTTTTCAAATTATATCTGTGTGTGAGTTTGTGTGTGTATGTATATATATAGTGTTTATTACCTAGTGTTTATTAAATGTATATTATCATTGGGGTTAAAGTCATAATTCTATTAAGATTGATTTTGTTGCCCATGATGATATCCCATACACTTCTGACGGTCAAGAAGATATTTATAAATTTGTAAAAGATGCTGGCCAGTTTGTAGCAACCGAGCGAACACCTGGTATTTCCACTTCTGACATTATAGCAAGAATTGTTCGCGATTATGACACATATGTTCAAAGAAATTTAGCAAGAGGCTATAGTAGGAAAGATCTTAATGTGGGATTTATAAAGGTATAATATTTTCTTGTTAAAACTAATTATTACTTAATAGGTTACATTTTGTCATAAACATTAAATTGTTTAAATTATGTAAAAATAGTAAATTTATTATTAATGAAAATAGTTTATTACATGATTACTATTTTTTTTATTTGATGTTTTTTTACTTTTATTTATTGACTCAATATTATTGAGCTATAGTACTTCAAAGTAAATGGCATAAAAATATCATAATTTTTCATGACTTGAAAAGCTTTTTTGCCAGCAATAGTTTGTTGTATTATTTATTGGTTTTAAACAACATAAAATAAATTGAAACATAACTAAAGAAATTTTATGCTTGGTAGAGTAAAGCAGGGTACAATTAAATAGAGGATATACTGAAATAGAAGATATACTGAAAGAGAGGATATATTGAAATAGAGAATATACTAAAATAGAAAATATACTGAAATAGAGGATATACTGAAATAGAGGATATATTAAAATTGAGGATATACTGAAATAGAGCATGAACTGTAACGGAGGATATACTGAAATAGTTATGGCAATCTTTATTATTTTTGGCTGTTTTTAATTTTTTTTTTTTTTTTTTTTTTTTTTTTTTTTTTTTTTTTTTTTTTGATAAATGCGAATAAAACTATCAGAATAAAAATTTATTATCAGTGATTTTAAAACATGTCCTTGTATAACTTTTCATGATGGTTAAACATCTTTTTTTTTTAAATTAAATTTACTATTTCTGGTTAAACATGAGTTAAATATAGAAACAGTGAACTATTACATTGAATGAAATATGCGAGTAAATAGAATTGTAAATAATTGTATGTAATTCTTTATCAAGATTTTTATGTAAAAGTAAGTAAAATATATGAAATCAAATTTTAATTACGTTTTTTAACTTTTTGAAGTTTTCAAAGTGAAAAAATTGCAATGGTTTTGGTGAAAATAGAAAAGTGGTATAGCATAAAACGTGTTTTTCAGTAGTTTTTTAACTTATGTTAAGAGGCAGGTTTTAATAAGACATACTTTAAAAATACAACTCGAATTAAGAAATGCCAAATATACAATGTTCTATAAAAGTGATTTGACAATTTAAATCACTGTCTGTCTTGAATTATTGCCAAAAAATGAAAATTATGTCGTTAATTAATAGTAAGCTATGCAAGGTATAAATGGTATAAAAAAGGAGCACAAAAATTTACTTCACATTTTTATTGAATTGTTAATTTTTATTTGAATTTTAAAATAACAATTTGCGCTATTATTGGCTGCCGTAGTAATGCAAATACATCGGGTTTTCATTTTATTTTTTTTATCGATTATCATCAGATTTAATAACTGTAGCTTTATGGAAAAAGGTAATAGGTATATATAAATTTTGATGGTTTATGTTTCAGCATGTTAAAAAAACAAATGACGAGAAGAAGCATTCCAAAATCAGTGCAATGGTGGATTTATTGTTTGAAAACAGTTATTTTTAAAAAATTTTAAAAGTTAGGAATGCCGTTAAAAAGTGATAAAGATTTCTTTAAAATTGCTTGTTTTAAGGATGATACCCCGGCAGGGGTTTTTAGGAATGAGCATTAAAAGATTTGCTTGTTTTTGTGTTTTATGTGACATATTGAGGAATTTTGTAATATTATGTTAATTGGTTTATCACATTATCCCTACCAGAACGATAGAAATCGTTTATAATTGTAGTGTTTTCTGCAAAATTTATTAATAAAATTATGACAATTACTCAAACTGCTTATAAATTAAACAGTTAAACTGCTTTTAGTAGTTATTCCTGACATCAATCAGATTTCTAATATTTCTGCCTAATTTATCCATTTATTAATCCAGATTATTACTTTGCCACACAAAAAAGTTGTTTCTTTCTGGTAAGTAGAAAGTTTTGGTTGAAACTGTAAAACCTACTCATTCTATGTATGAAGTTTACTACAGGTTTGAACCATTCAAATTAAACAAAGAATAATATTAAACTAAAGAGTTAGACTGCAATATATCAATTAAGTAAAACTAAACAAAAATTAAACATCAAAAAGAAATATTTCCACTTAACCATATAAAACAAATTAAATGTAAAACAAATACAATAAATCATGTAAATTAAATTTAAATATATACGCGCTAAATATAAAACAAACAGCTGCACCATACCGTAAACACATAATTTAAACATAAACAAAACTAAAAACAAACAATAAACTGTATAAAATTAAAGTAAATAAAAACTAAAAAATAAAATGAATAACGTCACTAAACCAAACAACCTAAAGTATAAATTAAATATATAATGAATATTTGCAACAAACCAAACTAGTTTAATCTAAAATACTAAAAAAGTAATTTTACTAAAACGTATATATTAATTTTAGTATAAAGTGAATATAAAATGAGTGAATTCAATAAACCATATAAATTGAATTAAGTAGACTAAATATAAAACTATTTATTTTACCAATAACCACATAAACCAAACTAAATATAACCACATAAATCAAACTAAATTAAAGTTAAAACAGGTATTTGTACTCAAATATGCAAAAGTTAGTTATAATATAAATATAAAACGAAGAATCACATTAAACCATATAAACTAAATGTAAACTAAACATAAAATGAACACTACTAAACCATATAAATTAAATATAAAACAAGAAACCGCATCACACTGCCTTGTTTTTTCCTCTGGCTGCAAGCTCTAATAATAACAAAATATGTATAGCTCTGTCATGATTTTGTTTGGCTTCTAAAACAAAATAAATTTAAAGCAAGTAAAAAAAATTACTTAGTAATAACACAGATATACTGTTTCTACTTTCTTCTCTTAATTACCTGCTATAACACTGAACATCTGTTTAAAATAGTATAACTAGTACACTAATATCTAATATACTCAATCCCTTTTCTCTAATACGTTCCTCTGGTGACTAGACTTACTTGTTCTAGTTGCGAACTTTATATAGAGATAACAATTCGTCAAATATCCCTGAAATATACTACAGTTTATCCAAATTAAATATGAATTAAAGCATCATTTTGGTATAAAAAAATAACACTGAGATAAAACGGCTTACATAAATATAGAAAAAAAAAATCTTATTGCTTAAAAAAAAATTAAGATTCACATTATATAATTAAGGCGACTTTTTATGTAGGAGTTCACCATAAAAATCTTATTTAACATTTTATCTTTATTTTATTTAGCTCTTGCACAACACAGAAAAACATTAGTCATTTTAAATATAATATTCTATAAAAAGGAAATATGATATAAAACTGGTATGAAAATCATACGTTCAAGAAATAACGCCTATTTTAAAAAATCTAAATAACTATATTAAAGATACAATTATTTTAAAATCATCTTGAGGGTTATTAAAAACAATCTGCTCTAATATAATATAAAAACGAAACAATCTGCTCTAATATAAAAACAAAATATTGAAAAGTGTCCTAATAAAAAAGGTATAGATAATTTTGCTGCCAGAAAATCACTTTTATTGTTGACATGTAAGTTTGAAGGATATAAGTGGGGTAAAGAAAAACTTAACCGGTCAGTAGAAGATTAGTCTCAGGTCATTTTTAGTGATGAATCAATTTTTGAGGTGGTTAATCGTAAATTAAAAATTATCATTAAAATTCTAGCTTCAGAGAAATTTATAGAAAGATTTTGTGTACCAAGAGTACAAGGTGGTGGCAACTCGATTGGTATATGGGGATACATTTCTCATAAGGGGATAGGATTACAAAATTTATACAAGGAGAATTAACCAGTATAATTACAAAAAGAATATGAAAAATAAGCTTTTATCTACTGCTATATCATTTTTTAGATGTGAAAACTTGATTTTCTAACAAGATTGTGCCACAGCACATAATTTAAACACGGTGAAATAGTTGTTTCAAAAGCAACATATTACTCTTCTACCCTGGCCAGCACGATTGCCAGATTTAAACCCCAATGAATTTATTTGTTCATGGATGGAGAAAAAATTATTAAGAGAGCATTGCCTAATTAAAACTTGCACTGGAGAAAATTGTAAAGAAATTATGTATGCATCTGATTGAATCCTCAAATGTGTTCAAGCCTGCGTAAAAGCACGTGTTGGTCATGCAAAATGCTGAATTAAAGCAATCTTTTTAATTATTACCATTAGTTACTTTTTTTAAGTGTACTTTTAGTTATTCATTGACTTGCATATTTCATTACTCCAGATTTTATTTCCCCTAATGAATGAATAGAATGAAATACTTTTTTCAGTTAAATGTTTTTTAAAAAGTTTGACTTGATTGGTATGTATTTAAGCTCAAAACTAATGTTTTCATAAGTTCATTGCATCCCAGAAAGTAAATGGAGTATATAAAATATTAGATAGAAGAGTATATAACATACTCTCTTGTTAATAAGTTAGCGTAAATTGAACATGAACATTTAGTTCTCAGAGTTTTATTCTAACATACTACATGTGTTAACTGTAATTAATATTTAATGTATATGTGTTAATTTTCAAATTTCAAATTATTTTTTTCTGCTTTAAGTTTCTACATCAAAACTTTCAAAGATTGATGTAACTTAATGTTGTTATCAAAAACAACATTTCAAAAACAACATTGAGTTGTTAATCTATAATAAGAATTCTAAAAATTTGACCACCTTTGCTTCCAGATCTTTTTCTTCTGCTTTAAGTTTTTACATCAAAGTTTAATGCAACTTATTGTTGTTTTCAAAAACAACATTGATTTAATATTCTATAATAAGAATTGTAAAAGTTCGACCAACATTGTCAATTACAAAGACCAGTTCATCTTTGTTTTAATGTTCATTTTTCAACGCTTCGCTTATGTCAAGTAAAAAGTAAAGCTTACACTTTTACCGAGAATCTGACTAGGTTTTTCAGTTTAAAATGTTATACATAGCATTTAAGAAATTAAAGTAAATCTTAAATGTTGCATTTTAAAAATAAGCACAAACTGAAACCTAAATTCAGATTAAAAAAGTAAATTAAATTAGATTAAATCAGATTAAAAAAGTAAATTAAAAAAGGAAATTGTTTTATGAAAAAAATATATAATCTCAGTTGTTTATTTTTTTTTAATTATTATTTTAAAATGTTTATAAACTAATTGTATATATAATTTTATAATTCTATATTTTTTTGGATTTAGTTGTATTTTAATTTTATATAAGTTATTTGTAATGTATGATCATTCAACTGTATTAACTTAATATTAAATTTAGTATTATTATTTTTTTTTTTTAAATTTAATTATAAACATTTATAACTATAAAATAACTATATATTTTAAACTACTAAATTAACTTTTTTTTAAAAAATGGCTTTTCTAAAATTTCAATCAATCAGGAAAAAGAATTAGCAGTGAAAAAAAAATACGAAACATTAAAAGGTAAATCTCAAGAGATTCTTACTACCTGGGAAGACAAATCGAGAGAGTTCATAACTGAATTTCTTTCTTTGTTCGGAAAAGAAACTATGGTAATGTTATTTTTAGTCGATATCTTAATTATTGTTGTTAGTAAATTAACTTGTAAAGTTAATTTAGCTATTAATTTAAAGTAAGAAGTTTTACAATTTTTATATACTGTTCTAGAATGGTCTATGGGAGCGCAGTAAAAATCAATTAAGTATAACTGGACAACGAATCAAGTCGGCATTCTCTCCATCCCATTCTCCGTTTTCTGAGGAACTTTCTCCATCCGGACTCCAAGCGGAAATAAGTGATGACGAGGACGAATGAATCGTTGCAATCAACGAATGGATTTTGAACTTTTTAAATAAGTATATTTTAACTTAAAGAATTTCAGACTATATTTTTATGCGAAAGAATTTCATTGTTTATTTTACTAAAATTAAATTCTTTTTTTGTTTTTATATACTGTCAATTTATAAATATAGTAATTTAACTTAATATGCCTAAAGTATTTGATATATATATATATATATATATATATATATATATATATATATATATATATATATATATATTATATATATATATATATATAAACATATATATATATATATAAACATATATCTGTGTGTATGCGTGTATATTTATAAGCAACGGTGTAGTTGTTAAAGATAAGCTAGAAACGCTCTTGATATGTTTTTTAACTCGTTTTCCTTAAAACTATATTTTTAACAAGTTTTTCTATTCCTTTAAAAATTCTAAGAAATGCTGTTGATATATTTAGCACAAATATGTAAATTATAAAGGTCACGCAATCAAATGAATATGTTAAAGGTTATATAATATTAGAATATTTTTTATTAATATGGTTGCTTTTTCCGACTGAGAAATTAAAATTCTAACATACACTTATGAGTTATCTAGTTGCTTATCCGAAATAAAAAAAAATTGTTTTTTAATATTCATTACGATCAATGTATTACGTAAAGGCGCCTATGATGGCATACCGGTCATATTTCCATAAAAATTGGTTTTGGTGAAAAAAAGATTAGACCTACATGTGATTAGACTGACTTTACTTTTGTTTTAGTGAAAATACGTTGCTTGTGTACAAAAATTGTTTTTATAATGAACAAAAAGCGATTTTGGGATGTGCTCTTGTAATTTTATTTCCTTCATATATTTAAGATTGTGATTTTATTATTAACTGTGCAAAAAGAGAATTTTCGTGCATTTTATATCCAAGTTTTGTGCATTTAGTGAAATACTTACTTTAATTTTATCTTTTGAACTAGGCAGACACATACTGTTTTAATGAAAATGATGACTTCTTCCCATGATGGCATACTGACAAATTGGGGGTGTTGCAATATTGACGAGTTGGTAAAACCTTTTTTTTTTTTTTCTAAAAGAAAAACTTACTTTTAAGTAAAGTAAAAAGAAAGCGATGCTCCAAAAGTTTGTTTTTTTGGTCCAAAAAATACATAAAACGCAACTATCCTATGTATATGAGCGAAATTTTACAATACTGCTGTGTAGCATGTAATGGTAAATTATGATGGTTCCGCGTAATTTCTAGCTTTTGCTTAATAAACTGAGGGAAGACTCTAAGGTTAAATGAAATCATCAAGTTACCCTTAATCCTAATCAGCCTCATCCTCCCCTATGCCATCATAGGAGCAGTGGTTGCCTATAATAGCATACTTGTGCTTTTTTTAAAATAGGAATAACATTAAAAAAACTGATGAAAACTCCAAGGGTTGTTATTGTTCTACATGTAACTATGAATGTATTCATTTCAAAACTTTTAATATTGGTCTTCTAAATAATGAAGCTTCAAAGTTAAGTATGCCATCATAGGCGTCTTTTCCCTATTTTAGTGCATGTTTACTTAGTATAGTTTATAAAAGTTTAAATTAAATATGCATTTATCACCATATTTATATGTTTATTGTATCCCACATCTATAATGTAATATACAGTTTCTATAATACATTCCCTGAGTTGAAAGTATTTAAATGTCGTTATAGCAACGTCAATATATTTAAATGTCATCTACTAAGTCTAAAAACTAAAACTTATTGAATAATTTGTTTACTAACCAAGTTGTTTATTGCATTAAATGTTTTCGTATTTTATTTTTCTGTTTTTAATCTCAGTTTTACTAAAAAAAACTTATCGCGATGCCCTATTCTCCTCTACATTATCATAAAAAACTATGTATGCAGTATTGAAGTTTTTTGGAAGACCTCATTAACAAAGAAACATGCGAACAAATTTTATCATTCAGGATAAATTTTTGAATAAAATTTTTCTTGAAAAACTGAGAAAAAATCTTACGTATCGTCCAACAAACACACCAACAAACAACTATCACCTCAATTAACTGCTAAAAATTTAACAGATTAACAAATTTTGTTGGATAGACCAGGGCGATTTCGCCACTCGATTTTTCAAGAAAAAGATGTTGTTCTGAAATGACAGCATATTATTATGATGTAAAATATTTATTATTTTAAAATTATGACCTTATAACTAATGATTGATCATAGTTATAAGGTCATAATTTTAAAATAATAGTTTGATTGTTGTAAATTTTAAATGAGATTCACTGTTTAATGTTATTAATTGATATTATCTTGTCACTCTTGCTCCTAATGGCATTTTTATTAATATTGTGAAATTGATTGAAACTACATTTGAGAATAACTGTTAATGTGAGAGCTTTATAAATTTGTTAAAACAATTTAACTGGCGTTCGTGGTATATATTTTAAATAGGTTTTTGTCCAAGTAGAAGATTGTGGGGTGATTTCGCCTCAGAATGATAGAATAGTCCCACAATTAAAAATATATATATAATGTACAATATTTTTGCTTTCTAAACAATATTTAATATTTATTATTATATAAACAATTTTATAAAATCATCCGACATATATCACGAACTATTGCATGATAAATTTATTAGAAGTATTTAGTAAGTCAAGATATAATAAATTATTTTATTAGAAGATGAAATAAATCTGTAGTTTTTAGATGTACATTAAAAACTAAAGTACTTTATAATTCAACTTAAAAATAGTTTTCTGAAGTTCTCCTAAAATTTTGAAAATGTCATTTATTTTTTCAATGCATTCAATGCATTTCTTATATTTGCATTTCTTATCATTAAATGCTCACCATCGCTGATCATTTGTACAGGCTTGTGGAGCCGGGGAGCCGCTGTTTTTTGGTGGAGCCGGAGCCGCAAAAATTGAGCGGCTCTCGGTTCTCGTGTTTTTTTTTAACGGAATAGAATGTATGTTTTTTTTTTTACTGTAGACAAACTTTATTCATTTATTGTTAAACTAATTTGTTGAATGAATTATTTATTGAACTTCTATTTTTTGAAAAAATTTTTTTCTAACAGTTACGGTTATGCCAAAACTTAATAAAAATGAATATTTTAACGATTTTGTTCTCAACAAAATACTATCCTTTAATAAAATTTCTTAACATTCTTTATTAAAAAAAAAAAAGGAAATTATAAATGGAAACATTACAGTGATGCACATATTGCTTTATATTATATTTTTATACTGATACTATGCTGTTAAATATTTAATGCGCGATTTAATGATCAAAGGTTATTGATATCTTTAAAATTAAACTAAAGCATACGATCGTTTAATTTGGAACAATAAATTTCGTTTAAAACTTGTCACTAACACATTATTAAATTATTTTTTTCACGTAATTACATAAAGTAATTATGGTATTAATTAAAAACATCAACAAATGAATCAAAATGTTGCTCTTAATTAAAATGTCGTTGAAACATTTAGAAAAACGAAAAAAAATTCTGCACAACTATTTACAAGTCCTTCTACATCGTTAATTTCAATTGCTAAGGCATCTGAATCTAGCAAAACTACTCTTTGCATTGTCATAAGACAATACAAGAGCTCTCTATCTTTCGAACAAGCAAAAGGATGTGGGTGAAAGAGTAGCTTTAAGGTTAAGAAAACCGCAATTAGTATTCGACGATCATTCACGCAAAACCCTGACTTATCAAACAGAGTGCGAGCCAAAGGATATAAAGTTTCAGAGCTTTTTAAAGATTAAAATTTGTCAAGCAATATGCAGTTGCCGTTTGAAATCTCGAGCTTTTGTTACATCGTCAATTTTAAACTTGAATGTTTACATCAAAGAATACTTGCAAGCTAGACTTTTGGAATTTTATTGAAGTCACAATGTCCCTTGTTGGTTCTAGCCTAATCTTGCTTCTTGTCATTATTCTAAGAAGAGTGACATCAAGTTCATACCAAAAAGCTTGAATCCATCAATTTGCACACAATTCCGTCTCATTGAGAAGTTGATGTCGTTAATAAGCGTAAATGTTTGCTTATTTATTTGAAATAATAAAAATATTAAATTTTAAGTTTTTGCATTAGTTAAACTATTTTTCATTTTTTTTGAGTTTTTCATCGTTTTTAATTTAACGATCGCATGCTTTACCCAGTGTGCATGGGACATACAAAAGAGGTCTTTTAATCGTCTTTGGAGTGTTTTAAACGTCTTTTAAACGTTTCGGACAACTTTTGAACGTTCAAAATACGTCTTTTTTAGGTCCCTCTGTGGGGGCATAAGAGAGACGTCTTTTAAACGTCTTTTGAATGTTTGAGATGCCTTTTGAACGTTTTGGACGTCTTTGGGACGTTCAAAAGACGTCTTTTTTAAGTACTGTCCCCTGGGTAGAATAAAAATTAAAATTTGAAACAAAAAATTTAGTTTTGGGTAGATAATATATAGAAAAAAGTGTTTATTTACCCAAAAAAATTTTCTTTTTAAATGTTACATCCTGTAGTAGTAATACAATAACCTTGTAATCATGAGAGTTGGTTAAAAATTAATTGCTGTAATTGGTACAGTTTTGGGTTGGCCAATGTGATTTAAAAAAATATTTTAAAACTTGCAATTTTTGTTCATAAAGTTAAGGAGCCGGAGCCGAGCCGGAGCCGGGTGTTTCTTAGGAGCCGGAGCCGAGCCGTCAAAAAAACAGTCGGCTCCACAAGCCTGCATTTGTAGCCATTATATCGATTGGCATGTTTAAGATACACCATTATAAAATGCTAGCATCAATATTTAAATAAAAAAAAGTTATGCCGATTGGTAATAATTATCTTCTTGCATTTTTAGCCTAAATGCCAAAATCTAAAATTCGCTGTATATTACCTATGTTTTAGATGGTACGCAAAGAAAAAGAAATCTTATAGTGATACGGCCATTGAAGCTGTTATAGATGGTGGTAAAATATTAACGGCAGCAAAAATATTTGGAGTACTGAGAATAACGCTGAAAATTTAGATAAATAGACGTCGACAATCAAGCTCTGTGGGAGGAAAAACAGTGTTTACAAAGCAACTGGAACAAGCACTAGTAAACAGGCTAT